CCCCCCCCCCCCCCCCCCCCGGCCTGATCTTCCCTCCCTCCACCCTGCCCTAGCCCCGGCCGGAGCTCGATCTTCCCTGCCTCCACGGCCCCGGGGCTGGAGAAGTTCTATGACCCCAATGATTACGCGGGGGGGGGGGGGGGGGGGGCGTGCCCCAGCTTGTCCCCTCTTGCGCACATACCCTGCCCCACCCCCTTATAGTCTCCTATTTCTTTCTTAGAGTCATCCCTGGATTTTTACAATCTCCAAAAATAGCAATCTGCTACCATGGGTCTCTTTGGCACAGACATAACTAATCTGCTCTGAAGTTATGGATCGTAATAGATTACCCCTTCCCTCCCCAGTTCCCACTAGAGCTCGAGGCTGTGTAAATCAGAACCCTGAGCCGGACGCAGGTGTAGCCTGTTAAAATGTGTATGGTCAGAGACCACCAGGCGCAGGGAAGTATCTGTCAGCAGTTCTCACGCTGATCAGTTCTTGGCATTGCGATTAGACCTACCTGGCAGGCATCTATTTTCCCCTCCAAGTATCCAGCACACACCATCCCAGGCTTGATGGCCCCATTGTACACTTCTGCTCTATTGCAAATGTCCGTGCCTATGATCTTCACTTCCCCTCGCCGAAGATTATTAATGCTTGGACCTAAAAGGGAAAGAGAGGATTTAGAATTTACAAGGCCTGGGAGGAGCAGGAGGAACCAGACCATCACGAACACTCAGCTTCCATTTCAGCACCTAAAGGAAGTGGCCAGGTTGACACTATGGGAAGAGAACAGTTGATCCTCCTTCAGCCTCTCACTTGCTCCAAACCCAGCTGCCGTTCAGCCTCCGTCCCCCCAAAAGGTGCCTTAATCCAAGTCCCCCACCCCATTCATTTTTCGACCTCACTCCTCTAACATAATGAGCACAGGGATTTCTGGTGCCGAGGTCCCAGCTGTGCACTGTGGGGAGTTAATACGTCTGTGAGATCAGAAAGCCCCAATCAGAATATGGCTTTGGACAATCCATGATCACAGCGAGAGTCTAATATAGGTATAGGCTCCAATTCAACAATGCTCTTAAGCACATTTAGCTTTAAGTCCCATTGGTGTCTTAAAGTGAAGCATGTGCTCATGTACTTTGCTAAATTGGCACCTGAATTAGGACCAAATAGCGGTTAGGTGAAGAGAACTTCTAGGGCAAGTTTAAAGGTTCTGGAAGCTAGATTACACCAAGCTGATGCCAGATGTGAAAACAAAGGCAATGGTACAGAAAGGAAGCTGGTGACTGAATGCATGAACAAAATCTGCTTAGCCTTGGTAATGGCAGAAACAGCAACGAGTGACTTTTCTCATCCTGGCACTAGTGGCTTGCAGCTCTGCCATGTCCCAGACCACCAATGGAAAGCCAGAAAATGCCGAATACAATGAACTGAGCCAACCTGTATAGAACACGCAGATGCTCAGCCTGGTAATAGATTTGAAGGTCGGAAGGGACCGTTCTGATCACCTGGCCTGACCTCCTGTAAAACTTCACCCAGTGACTCGTGCAGTGGAAGGATTTATTCTTCGCTACTACATAAGCGAACCCAGCAGCTGCTGGTCGAGCTGGGACGTCTCATTTAGAAAGATAGCCAATCCCGATTTAGAACCTGTGTGTCAGAATGAATGTCCCACTTCCTTTGGTAAGCTGTGCCAATGACTAATTAGCCCCCAGACTAATCAGATAAGAAACTACGTTCAATTGCATAACGAACTGAAAATGAACTAAATATGTAACGTCATGGGAGGGCTCTTTGAGGAGACACTCACCTTGATTCTGTAAAGCGCCCCATCCCGTGACAAAGCAGGTAGTGTCATGTGGGAAGACGTAAAATTCTTCGGGGAGACAGACCATGCGTATGTCGCTGGTAAATTCCACGGGGGAGGAGAGCTGCACAACAGCGATGTCATAATCGTGGTTTGGACTGGTATTAGTGTATTTTTCATGAATGATTATGTTGCGGACAGATCTTCTGCTTTTTGGAGGTCTTAGAACAGTCCCAAAGCTAGCCGTCCACCTAAGGGGATTCAGTTGTCTGAAAGAGATACCAGATTAGATCACAGGCATGCACAGACAATTTTTCAAAGAGCTCAGCTCCCAGTTAGGCACCCAAATGCCGGGCTACATGTGTTGGGAAGCACAGAGCACGGCCAGAACATTGCTGTGCTCCAGCAATCCCCTGAGGGATGTTGCCAGCTGGTATAAGTTAGAACAGCCCCAAGGTTGCTCTAACTTGCACTGGTGGCTGAACTGACACCCAGCAGCCCGAGGGTTGGGCGGAATTGAAAGGTCTAGTACAGCCATCTTTGACTTCCACCACCTCTCAGGTCTCTCCCCAAGTACAGCTCAGCCAAACTGGAGGATCAGAACCCAGATACATTTAGGGGTTCTGTTTTGGTTCCAAAGGTCACAGAATTCCAGGTTGGTGTCTGTACGGGCACACAGTCTTTTACAGCATCCTCTCCCCAAGCTGGGATCTTACCCTCTAAAGCAGTGAGCTGCAGTGACAAGCCACGTGTCACTGATCAGCGTTGCGCCACAGCGATGGATACCGTTCAGCTGAAGACTAGCTTGCCATGGCCACTCGCCATCCTGGGCAGACACGCCTCCGGTTATTCTGTCCGTGTAGGAAGGTGATTTACTTCCTCGTATCCCACAACCTATCAAAGAAAGGACCGACTTAGCTGGACTGCTCCCCAGGAAAGAAAGAGAAGCTTTTGTTTGGTGTATGTTCCCAGCATGCTGAACACCAATGGCTCCTTGCATTTTGTTAGAACATGGCTGTCATCAAATGAACAGCATTCAGATAAACAGATTGACACCACAGCTGCATTGATGTTCAACCATAGTCACACAAGGTGAGACTTCACACACACACACAAAATTAGGCACACAGAAGACATACATAGCCAAGTATAATGATAACAAAAACCAGACAGTCTTAAAATAAGAATGAACCAAAATATATTATATTTATAATTATGCCATTTAAATAACCACCCCTTGTATCTAAACATATTAATCCTTCCATCTAGCTGCATAAAGAAAAACACAGTTATTATTATAAATAATGAGAAGATCTCTTAAAGAATAGTAAAAACATATCTAAATCATAACCCAGAAGTAAAACACAATTGCAGGTAGGACTAAGCTAAACTCCATCTATTATTGCCATTACCTGTAAAGTCAACATTTGTCTGGAGGATGTAATAAATATGGATTTTCGTAGAGATCTATTAAAGTATATTTTGTACAACAGATTGTGTTGGGTCTAGAACTGAGCAAATAATCGATTTTTAGGTTTGGGGACTGAACTAAAATATCCACGTCGATGAGAAAGAAAACCAAATTTTGTTCAAAATTTTTCGTCAACTCAAAAGATGCGTTTGAATTGATAACAGACCTGAAATGTTTTGGTCGATTCAAAACTTTTTATTTTTTATTTTTGTTTCAATTTAAGCAGCTTGGTGTTTTGTTTTGTTGCTGGTGGTGGTTTTGGTTTTTTTGGGGGGGGAAGGGGTCTGACAAAAGTGGGAATTTTCTGAAATATTTTTATGATTCCTATGCATGCCTCAGTTTCTCTCTGTACTTTGCATTGCTACCGAATGGCTACACAAGAGTGCTCTTGGGGCAAAGCAGGAGACAAAGTGTTGTGTCATGTAACAGTCTGGGGTGGAATGAGTGGGTCGGTAAAGGACTGGCTGAAACCGATCCATATCGATGGCGGGTCCGGAAAGATAACAGAAGCCCCAAGAACTGAGCAATTGACACTTATCCAAGGGCAGATACCTGGCAGGTGGAAGGTGTGAACTCAGCATTGGCCTGCAGGAACTGGACCCTGGACAGAAAAGCGTCAGGGAGCTGAGATAAGGATTGGCAGCTCTCACTCGGGACTGACAGAGAGAGATGGCAAGCCAGGAGAACTCCTTGGCAGCTTTGCTGGGTGGAAAGCTGGCTTGGCCAATACGGACTGTGTCTATTTCTCCGTGCGAACCTAAGGACTTCCCACTGCTGTGTTCCAGGTGACTAATAAATCCTACTCGGTTTTGAAAAGGCTGCCTGGGGTCACTGCAAATGTTTGCTGAAGTGCACTGGTCCCTGAAGAGCGTGAAAGTCTCAGCCCAGGCGTCTATCTCAGCTGGTTCTTTTTTTTTTTTTCTTCTTCGGTTTAACAGATTCACTTTTATTTATAAAAATGGTAAACTTGTACTAATTTTCTGCCTGACGAAATTATTCCTGAGTTTTAGATCACTGCCGAGGCCCAGCAGATAAAACTCTGAAAATTTAGTTACGAAATGTTTTTGCAAGTCAGGTTTATCAGTACTGTACGTTGTTCAGTAGCCTTCAGTCATCAATAAACGTTAATCTTCCAGGTCCTTCACTCCTCATCCACCGCCTGTATCTCTTCCATCGAGGGTCCATGGCCATCTTCTTTAGCTCTTCCTCTTGTTCTTGCTTGTAGACCTCATAACTCTCTCTTATCCACAGCTGCTGTTCCAGAAAAGTCTCTCTCTGATTATCTTCCAGACTGTCAAACTGAGACTGCGACATTTTCATGTATCTGCGTATGATATACAGCTTCTCGTCCTCACCATATTCTCGCCCTTTAATATTAAAACAATAAATCCACCAACAATACCAACCCATAATACTTGCATAAGTAAAGAGGAGCTAAGAGGCTTTCTTGCTAGGCAGAGCTCTCGGTGTGAGGCAGAGGGTGGAGCCCAGAGTTCAGTCTTTGAGGTGTTGAGGCCATGTGGCCAACCCATGTGGGTCTGGCACACGGACAGGTTTCCTCCCAAGGGCTATTTAAAAGCTAGGCCACAGCACAGCTCCTGTGCACAGGAGTTCACCCTCTTTGAATATTTTCTTAATTGCCCAAATTTGAATTTGAAATGCCATTTCAAGATGAAAAGTCAGAACAAAACAACATTCTGAAATGAAACATTGCTTTGAATTTTCTCCATTGTTTTCTCAGCCACAACTATTTGTTGACCCAAATTCACAAATAATTTGGGAGCACAAAAAAAAGGCATTTTTTGATCAAAAAAATCTATCAGTCAAAAAACTTTTGCCCAGCTCTGGTCAGGTCACGTTTAGCTTAAAATTCAGGTGTGATAAGAGCACGCCTTTGTAAAATGAACAGGAATGTTTCCATTATGGTTTTTTAAATGGAAATACTTTAATAAGAGTTCTTTTGCAGTGTCTGCAAACTCAATACTGCAGGGTTGTGCTAGTGCAGGATAGCCAGATGGTGGAATTGACTAGAACCCAATTCTAAAAAAAAGAGTGAAACTGACTAGTCTATCTTCATTGCCTAAGCTTAGCAAAATGCAAAAAGCAACGTAAATTAGATGCTTAATATTCTTTGGGTTTAAAACCTATCGGGAGTCCTGAATAACTGATGTAAAGATTACGTCTAAGTGCCTGACTTGGCCTTCTGTACTCCTGAAGAACTGGCTAACTCTGCGCGTGTTTCACTAGTGAACTCTATGCCAACTGCAGAGTCACATACTGCTCAGTGGGAATGAAGTCAGGCCCCAGAATAAGCCATTGCTCACAGGCATTGTCCCTTTAAACTTCTGCCTGTACTGAGGCAACAGAAGGCTCTTACACCATATTGTGTAGCCAGAGGCAACCCTAGGCAGAGACACTTTCCACTACCTCAGCAACAGTCTCAGTACAGTATGAGGATGGTGCCACAGCTCCATCAGCCAGTGGTTCAGACCTGAACCCCCCATCTCCAAGTACTACAATAGGTCTGCCTTGCCGAGAGGCACCGGGGTCCAAAGAATGGGGCACTGAACTAGACAAGCATTCAGGTGACCTGGGTTCTAGTCCCATCTCTGCCACTTACCTATTGTATGACCTAAGTCACTTTACCTGTTTCCTCTCTCTCTCCTTGTGGCGATCATAAGCTCTTTGGGACAAAGACCTGTCTCTTACTCTGTGCTTGTACAGCACCCCACACAGTGGGTCCCTGATCTCAGCTAGAGCCTTTAGCCACTGCTGCAATACACACAACAACAGGGGTCTGGGTGATCCCCAAATAAAAGCTATGACCTCAGCCTTGTCTCTGTGACCTGTGTAAAGGCCTGGGAGATGGTCATTGGCTTTCTCTTCCTCCCCAGTGAAGCTATATTTGGTCCCTGGGAGATGGTCATTGGCTTTCTCTTCCTCCCCAGTGAAGCTATATTTGGTCCCTGGGAGATGGTCATTGGCTTTCTCTTCCTCTCCAGTGAAGCTATATTTGGTCCCACATCCTCAATGTCTAAGTATCCCCCCTGAACATCACCTTCCACATGGTCCCCCAGACCTCAGTCAGGTACGGTATGCTGCGGTCAATGCCCGGGGCGGAGCACTGACATAGCCAGAGCACGCATCAACACCGGTTATGGAAAAGCTGCCAGCCCAGGCTGAACTGGGGCGGCTGGGGCCGAGGTTGGTCACTCTATCCTCGGAGTCACAGCACCAGGCTTGACTGAGCGTCTACGCGGCACTAGCATCAGGACGATGCATTGTCAGTCCAGGGTGAGCACAAAGACCAGAGAGCTTTGGCTGAAAGAAGGCATGGAAGCCTACCACTGTCCCCTGCTGTCGCTGGGGGGTACCCGTCGACCACTGTGAGCAGGAATGGGTCTGGTGCAATCGGAGGCTTCAGTCACTTGCTTCTGGAGGCTGGTGAGAAGTGGGATGCTCAGCGCTTTGCTGGCAGTAATTACACAACCAGGGAGGAGCTGTGTCAAGCACCAACAGGGTACGCACGGCAGCAAGCAAGACTTCAAAGCCTTGGGCCCAATGCATAAGATCTAGCGGACACCTTGGGATGTGCCAGCGTGAGCAGCGTAGAGCCAGCAAGCAGAGTATATACAGACACTCATGGCTGGATCGGTAGAAGTGCTTAGTACCCGGCAGCTCTCATTGGGAGCAGAGCTCTTCTCAGCATCCACCTGGGACTCAGAACTGTGGGCAACTCCTCCTACAGGGAGGAGACCAGCAGGGACTCCAGGCTCTCCCTCCATCCATGATGACATTTGTGAACAAATCTCAGAGCTGTCTGGTCCTTTTGGAGGCAGCTGTATCTGCTCAGGAGAGGTGCAGTCCAGTCTGCATTTGGAACTAGAGCTGGCCGGGGATTTTTCAGTGAAACTTCTTTTCCTTTGGAAAATCCGGATTTGTCAAAACCAGAACGTTCATCAGGATGTCGTCTCAGGTCCAGGATGGAATTTCTATGGGTGAGTGTGAGACATGAACCCCATCACCACCCCAGAATAGCCAGAGGCGTGGTGTTTGGAGCCAGGAATGGCAGAAGCTCCCTAAAAGGGTGTATGTGGGGACACTGGCATCCAAACTGTGGCCCTGCCCTGCTCCTTCCCCGAGGCCCCGCGCCCACACTGCCCCTTCCCCCAAGGCTCTACCCCCACGCTGCCCCACCCCCCACTCATTCCTCTCTGCCTCCTCCCACCCATTGCTCACCCTTACGACCGGTAAAAAATGGGAGGACTATGTCTTCTCACTTTTAAAAGTGATGGGGCCATGGCCCCCTGGCCGCCCCACTCTGGCGCCCCCGGTTAGGGCAGTCAGCTGGGATGTGGGTGACTCATGTTCTAGCCTGTGCTCTGCCAGATATAGATCAGGGTCTTGAACCCACATCCCAGGTGAGTGCCTGGACCACCAGGCTGTGGGCTCTCTTGGGGGGCTGCCCCTCTCCTTTGTTTCTGAAAAGGTTCAAGAGGCCTTGGTTTCATCCCAATGCAGAACAGGAAACCCCACACCATTTTCATGGGATGGGAAAACCGTTTCTCACTCAGCTCTACATGGAACCGCTCTCGAAGTCAGAATATAAAGCCTGTCCATGCCGCACAGAGCCATACACAGCCGGGCGGACGCCAAGACTCCAAGGATACAGCAGCGAGGGGCTGAACATTCTCAGTACCTCTGGGGTGCTGCTGTCATCAGTCTCAGTCAGCACTAGCATGCAAGTCCCAAGGGCTGGGAATGCCCATTTGGTGGACTGACACAGCTGGTGCCTATTGTCAAACCACTAAACAAGGCAGAGTTGTTGTGGGGAGCAAGGTGGACGTGCATCTACTGCAGCCAGTTGTAGCTACTCAGTGGAGCTCCTTCACGACCAGAGTTGGAGAGGAACCAGCAACTGGAGCAATAGGGGACTCCTCCATTCCACCTCCTTCCAGCAGTGGCAGGATAGCCACCTTGAAAGCTCTCACCTTGGTCACACACAGCAGCACTGTATGGCAGCGAGATAGCTGGGGAGAGGCATGTTCTCCAAAGGCTAACCTCTGCAAAAGAGAGATCCCTGTCGGCAGGCAGGTAGGTCCATGCCTCTCAGGTATGACTGTGGGTGTCATTTCTGCAACTCTGTGTTCATGGTGGTACCTCACCAGCAGGTGGCCTGCACCTCCACATATTTGTACGAGCAAAACGAAAATACCTTTTCCCCCCCAACAAACAAGTTGAGTGGCAGGCTTCCAGCACAGAGGAATGTTTCCCCAGGCAGCAGCAGGGAGGAGGGATGAATCAAGCAATCAAAGCAGCAGAGCGAGGGACTCTCCCACCTGTCAGTGGGATGGGTGGGGAGTTACAACCCATCACAGCTCGTACATACCATATCTGTTAGCTAGCTTAAGGACAGCTCAGGACCAGGACCTGCATCCCAGCACGTACATGAGACACGGTGCTGCGAATGGGATCTGTCTGCAGGCACTGTGTCCTGAAAACCTGTAGGACAGGTACGTCCATTCCTTTCCATTACTGCAGAGTCCCTGCGCTAGTAACAATGCACAATGGAGAATAAAAACTGGTATAAAACTGCAAAAAAGTGACACAGTCAAGTCCATGAATCGTGAACAGCTGGGAACTACTTCAACCATAGTTACTGAAATTGCAACATCCCACCTAACTACTGTGTCATTTCCAAATAGATGCACCAATAGTCTAACTATAATGCTGAATAATAATATGGCAAAAAGACAATCGAGCCCAAAGACTATGGGCTTGATGAAAAGTCAGTGGAAGTCTTTCCGTTGACTTCAGTGAGTTTTAGACCAGGCCCTGCTCATGCAATGTACATTGCCTACTAGGGATTCCTGCAAATAAATCCTTCACTTCTTGAGTCACCAGGTACAAATAATATCAGTTACATCTGTCGCCAGAAGAAAATCAATCTCCCTGTCCCTCATGTGATTATTAATGGCTAGAATGTGCTTGGATCCTGTTTTTAAACACTACAGACCTAGGGCTGGGAGGCACTGAAAATATATGCGAGGGAATAATTTTGGCTTCTGGTTAGAGGGGCCAGCAGAGATCAGGGCCCCATTGTGCTAGGCCCTATACAAACACAGATAGAGTTCCCGCCCCACAGACCTTAGGGTCTAAATCGACAAGGTAGACACAGACTGGGAGACAAGCGGTATTATTATTATTAGACACTTTCTGCAGGAAATGGAGGTCCAGAGAGATTAAGGAAAAGACCTACAGACTTACTCTCACACTTAACGTTAAGCATGGGGTCGGCCCGTTGAGTGGATGCTGGGGAAGCCCTACAGTCAGAGGTTGGGAGGAGCAAAGGGCCATCTCTCCAGCACCCTCTCTAAGGCCCAGGAGAAGAGGAAAGGAGCTAACCAGTACTCTGGCAGGAAGGCCACCCCCTAGCACTTCTAAACGACCAGGAGAAAGAGCAACAGGGGCAGCTGGGAGGAGCAGCAAGGACCGAGAAGGCTTCCTGACTCTTCCACGTGTCCAAGAGGCAAGAAGCAGGACACTTGCTCTCTTTCATCAGCACTAAAGTCACCTCCCCCCCTCTTAGAGAGACCTCTCTGGAGCCCACGGCCACCCGGAGATGCAAGCTAGTCACCAGCGGGGGGGAGGAAGCTTGTCCCTACTTCTTCCTAAACAACACACGTCACCTCCGTTTCAGCCACAGGGGATAAATCCCCATGTAGACAATGCCTAGGTACGTATATGGCCCCCACATCACCCCACTGTCCAAGCACCTAGTCCTATGAGCCCTGCAGCGCCAACCCAGCTACAAGAAAGTGAGCGGATTTCTCATCTGCTTCATGCACCCTCAACAGAATTGTTACCTGCATTTCAGCTGCGTAATCCCCTTTCTGCGTGCCAGGCTGACCTACAGATTTTATAGCGTGGTCAGTCAGAAGAATCACCTTTCTGCTTGTAGACTAGCGCACCTCATGTAGAAGTCACTGAAACCCAGAAAGCATGGAACCCCACAATGGCATGTCCCCCAAGGACCATTAATAAACTGCTTGTACTTACAGTTGTTGAAAAGGTTTTCTCCATTTTCCTTCTTCATCCCTGAAATGAAACACACAGCAGACAGTCAGAACCGCTCACACTTCCTGTTTCAGTTGGTCAGGGTGGATTTCCTTAACGTCCTTGTGGGACATACGTGATGATTGTTTTGGGGTGGTGCCGGGGGTATTGTAAGAGGAGACAGATGAGCATGCCTTACTATGTGGGGAGATTTCGCAGTTAGTAAGTCTATCTGGGACTTGATTGGGCTACTGTGGGGTCTCCCAAGTACGAACCCTCAGATAGTCACTTGGCTTCAAGATCGGTCTTGGATGGAGTGTCTGTAAGTGCTGGTCTAAAGTAACCCTGTAAATGCAACCAACTGCTAACATGCTGTGAGGATGAGCATGGTATAAAACCCTAAATGGATTAGTTTAGACAAGATAAGGCTGGAAGTCACAGACATCACCATTTGCGGGATCCAAGTTGTAATCAGCTACTGTTCTTTCATACAGAAAGTTTACGTGACAATCTAACGAACGGACACCCCTATTTGCTCTCCCTCATAATACTAGAGCAACAGGGCAATCAATTACATTACAGGTGGCAACTTTAAAACTGATACAAGGGTTCCCCCACCACGCACACACACAAATAATGCATAATTAATCTGTGGAACTCGTTGCCACATGATACCACTGAATCCAGGAGTTTAGCAGGATTCCTAAGGGAGTTAGAGCCATTTATATGGATAACGAGATCATGCACAGGGTTTATTAGATAGGAAAGATATATAACGGGCATAATCTCCTCTGATTCAAGGGATTAACTAACCACTAACTGCCTGGCATAAGGGGAAATTTCCCATAAAGGCAGATTATTCCATAATGCTCTGTTACAGTCATTCTTCCTCTGGAGCACCTGGTATTAGACACTGTTGGAAATACGATACTGGGCTGGATGGACCCCTGACCTGATCCAATGCAGCAATTCCTGTGTTCCTACAAGTTACACAATATGGCTAGCGTAATTATCCTGACATCGTTGCTTATGTTGAGGCCAGGCTAACCGAGAAAAGCAACTGAAAGATAGCCACTGTACTTCACCGCTATAAAGCTGATCCGATTATGTCTCAGAGCTCCAATTTCAAAAGTAACCATTGCCTGTAATTGGATCATTAAAAAACTATCTGGTTGCATGCAACGTATCAGCACAATTAGTTATTTAAGCACCTTTGCCAACACCTCACCTGCTCAGTATAAAAGGAGCATAATTCTCACCGTAAGCAATCAAACGCCCATATGGGAGTGTTACTGTCCAGGGAGATGGAGAGCTACACTCCAACTCATTGGGGGGCAAATCTCACATGCTGGTGAAAGGCACCAGCTTCTCTGCTCCACACGCAAAAGCTTCTTCTCTTCCAAGGAGGGCCATGATGAAACCATGTTAACTCCATTCCTTGGAGACATTCCATCCATTACAACAGAACGGCGGCTGGCTGTCATCTCGGCCTGGGAAGACCCCAGATCCAGCAAGCATGGAGTCTGACCCAGTGCTCCTGCACTGTCATGGTTACTCCTGATGCTTCCACATACCCATATGGCCTGTACCTATCTGCAAGGGATAGTCTAAAATAGTGTGGTGATGAAGTGGGGTAGGTGTCTCCAGCCCATTAGGGATTCAAGTGTTCTTCTAAAACCCTGGATTCCTGTTCCCGGGAGACATGCTTAGATGTGTAGTGCATTATCACAGGATGGAGGGGTTGGGTGGCTCCATGCATGGGGCTGGGAGTACATGGAATGGCAGCACTTCATGATGGCACAGGTATTTACCTCTTCTTTCCACCCAAGTATTCACCCTGAACAGGGGGCGGTTCCTTCCCCAAAGGAAGAGAGAATAAATAAAGTTCAACCCGAGTCACACGCCAAGACAAGAGCCTAATGTATTGCATGGAAGTGCCTCAGTCTACAGCAGTGGTTCCCAAACTGGGGTTCGTGAACCCCTGGGGGTTTGCGAAATGTTACAGGGGGTTCTCGGGAAAAAATTCTCTAATGGCGAACAGAGCTGTCCCTAGGGATCCTGGGCAGCCCGGGGCCAGCAGCCCGGAGCCGCTGGACTTCCAAGAGCTAAGCGGATCAAAGCGAGCATTGCTATCACACTGAGGAGATTTAAACTTCAAGACTCCTTATAAGAAATGGAAAGGGAGGTGGATATTTTTTGCTATTTTTAAAATTAGATAGGCAGGTAGTATTGTTTTTAAAATTATTATGAACAATTTTAAGCTTTGTTGTAATGTGCGTTGTTTGCCTGGACTGCTCAAGACCTGAATGCTTGTGTAGGAGGAACTCTTTGAGTTGGCTTCTTAAATGCTTTCATGCTGTTTCACATCTGATACGCCTTGATGAAACATAGAAGCCTTGTCTTAGAACAGGCTTATTCAAAGTGATACAAGCTACGAAAGTGAGATCTTGGAAGAGTTTTGCCGTTTTCATAATGTAATAAAAATACTGTAATGATAACTAATAATTAATAATAAATAGTATTTAATAAGCAGGTCATAAAAACAAATGTTATATTTCCAAGATCACTGCTTTTATAATTTATACTCAGGTAACAGAGAAAATCCCTGGAAATATTCATTTTGAGGAGGGGGTTCGCGAGACTTGACATTTTAGTGAAAGGGGTTCACAGGTTGTTAAAGTTTGGGGACCACTGGTCTACAGCAACACAAGAGAGAGAGCAAGAAGAGTGGGAAACAGAGATCCTTAAAGTGACAGATCTGTAACATTTGATCTGTCAAAATTATAACCCCATTACTTCTAAAACCAATGGAAAAACTTGTTTTACAATATATATCTGCCTTAAGAATATATCCTGCAAAGTATTTAAAAAACACTTCTCCGATTAATCCTATTTTACAGTTTTTCCCTAAAATAACGGAATCTCCTTAGAGAGTACAAAATGACTGCACCAGGCTGATGCGCGGAATGGTTCAACTGCATCATTTGCTGCCGTCTAATGCTAAGCGCTGAATCCGACGTCCACTGGGGAATATTACCGTTTCTTGAGAGCAAGAACTAGGCTACAAAACTCATTGAGTAGGGGACTGTTAATAAAGCAGGCGGGGAATTTTTTGATGAAATATTTATAGACGAAAAATGCCAGTTGGTCAAAAACAAAACTTTGTGGAACAGGGGCAGTTCTGGCGACTCTCCCAACGTGAACATTTTTTGAAAAAAGTTTCAAAATTGTCCAAAGGTTTGTTTCAACATTTTCTAAAATGAAAAAATTCTGGTTTTCAGGTTCAGAATAAGTGTTTCCAAAAGTAAACTAATTAGACTAAAAGAAAGGGGAGAGCGGGAGCTCAAAACCGAAACCAAATATTTCAACTGACCCAAATCCAACCCTTTTCGTTTGTTTGCAAAAATCTGAGATTGATTCTTCATCCTGATTCAAGATAGGAAAATGTTTTGAACTCTCAAAAATATGCATGAGATGAGAAAAGTTTCTTGCCCAGTTCTGTCGTACGATAACAGTGAGGACAGAAAAACAGGGGCCCTTTTGTGGAATGCTGCCAGTTTTGCATATTTTTAATAGTGTGACGGCTTTATATTTGGGCACCTGACCGCAGAGTGGAGAAGTGAAGTGACCTTTTATTCATTTGTGTGCACACCAAAATTCATTTTTCTCTGTGGCAGGCTGGGAAGGGAGAAGACGGGAGGACACAAAAGCCATCTTCATTCAATATGGAGTTGGATTCTGGGGCTAACTGTGGGGAGAAACAAGTCCAGAAGGGAGGCTGCAAAGCAGGAGACATAAGGTGAACCAACAGGAATGCACTTCGCACCATTGGTTTAGAAAATTTGAAAGCAGAAGCAAAATGCTCTGAAAACAAAGGAACCTGGAGACAGAGCTTTTGCTGGTGGAAATCAGTTGTGACAAAGTTCCTCCTTGATCTTGGTGGGTCCTGCGCTTATCGGCGGATTTTCTTTCCTCAGAGATTCACCATGTGGGTTGGGGAACAGCCCAGAGACCTTCCCCTCTGGAAGAACCCACAGTCCAGGTCAATTGGGGGGAACCCGGGCCCACCCTCTACTCCGGGTTCCAGCCTAGGGCCCTGTGGACTGCAGCTGTCTATAGTGCCTCCTGTAACAGCTGCATGACAGCTACAACTCCCTGGGCTACTTCCCCATGGCCTCCTCCAAACACCTTCCTTATTCTCACCACAGGACCTTCCTCCTGGTGTCTGATAACGCTTATGCTCCTCAGTCCTCCAGCAGCACACCCTCTCCCTCTCGGCTCCTTGCTCCCAGCTCCTCACACTCACACCACAAACTGAAGGGAGCTCCTTTTTAAAAGCCAGGTGCCCTGATTAGCCTGCCTTAATTGATTCTAGCAACTTCTTTTTAATTGGCTCCAGGTGTCCTAATTAGCCTGCCTGCCTTAACTGGTTCTAGCAGGTTCCTGATTACTCTAGTGCAGCCCCTGCTCTGGTCACTCAGTGGTCATCAGTGACCAGTATATTTGCCCTCCACCAGACTCCTGTACCCCACTGGTCTGGGTCTGTCACACAGTGTAGACCAACTTACTTCAACGGGGTCACACTGATTTATGTCTGCTCAGAATCTGGCCCACTGACTTCAGTGGCACTAGGTAAATTTGCATCAGCTGGGGATCTGACCCACGTCTGTATCCTTGTTCTAGCTTTATAGTACCCTTCCAAGGTGTCAGCTGATGAGGGTGGCAGGGCTGTTTTGGGAAGAGGGAAGAAGGAAACAGCAGGGACTCACTTCAGCGCTATAAAACAAATCACATTGCACAGAGGAAAGGGAGGCCTGAGCAGCAAAATCAAGGAGAAAAGGGAAAGCTCAAGAAACTTGCCTGAGAATTTAAAAGTTGAGGGGTCAATTTCCAAGGGCCCTGTGTTTGTCTGCAACCGCCTAAGCAAAATGCTCTTGATTCTTTCTGAGAGAGCCGCTCTGTTATCATTTGAGGCGAATTCAAACATCAGCACAAGCTCTACCACCACTCCGCTGGCATCTGGGCTGCAAACCAACATGACATTAAAGACAGAGGTGAGTGAGCGTGTTTGCTACTTGTCCTCTCTTTCTACATGGCTTTAGTTTTCATTAGGTCCTCTGGGCCTTACCTGGGGACTGATACACAATAGAAGACAGGGGATGGGAAGGATCTAAGCAGCTAGCAGGGGATTTTGACAGAGCTCATCCTGTCAGAGTGATTGGGGAGGTCAGTGGGAATCTCGCCGAGAGCAAAGGAAAAGCCGAGGGCAAAGGATGATGTTAAGGAGAGCAACGTCCCAACTCCAGCCTGACGATGGTGGTGAGGGTGAGCTCAGTGCACGACCATGTGGATCATGGTCACAAGAGGACATATGGCCATTGGAACCATGGGCATGAAGCTCTTCTGGTTACTGCGACAACAGCTCTCATTTAGGCACCTGAATTAAGTGTGTTGAAGGATGGAGCGTCCACCACCTCCCTTGCAGCCTAAATTCACCCTTTCCTAATTTCACCCGCTGCTCCCCAGCACTCAGTGGTTCCTCTCCTTCTTTAGTGATCGTGCCCTGGATATGATCCCAGCCATTCGTTGTCACTGAGTGAAGGGGCCACCAGACTCCTTGTTGTTTCCATGTATTTAACTATTTCCTTCTTTCCTTGAAAGCCAATCCCCCTCCAGCAACTTTACCACTTCTCTAGCTCAGCACCGAACCCCCTCTCAATTGTCAGTATCTTTCTGGTAATGAAGCGCCTGGACTGGGACACGCTATTCCCCCAGCATTCACCCCAGCGCCGCATAGTGTAGTCCGTGCTACAGAGCAGCCGTAGTCTGCAGCCTGCCTATCCCATGATGCTGCCTCTGGGTAGGTTATTCAAAACTGCATGGGCTTTTCTTATTTTTGCACTGCTCTATCACATTGCATGCACCACTCCACTTATGAGCATCTGGTATAAAGTTCATTGAATCCACTCCGGGGACATGGAGATGAGAAACATCCTGTTACTCTGGGCCACTTTGCAGAGCAATCTGGAGACCTTGAACTGGGTCAGGTCCCACTAGAGCTCTCCGCTCCTCTTGGGTCAAGCGGATACCTTAAGTGCTCAATCTTGGCTTCTTGGGGGGTCAATGACCATAAAGACACTGTTGTGGGAAAGACAGAGGCACTGGGCCTTCCTCTGACTCCCGCTGCCCTGCACCCTGTGCAGACACTTATACCAGCTCAGCACAGCAGCATTTTGCACAGGTGTAAGTGACTGCAGAACGGGCAAGGGGCAGCCATACCCCCAGCAACTGCAAGCCCTGCAGGTGGAATAGCCTCCGGGCCGGCATCTTGATTCTGAAGAGTCCTGGTTGATGGCGACAGCATGCGTTCCCCCTGCCCTCATGCTGCCTGGCCGCCCCAGACTGGAAGAAAGGTTCTTCCTAGCTAACCTCAAGCAGGAAACAGATCTGCTAAAGAAGAAAGCGGCATTTCATTTTACATACCTCAGCTTGACAACATGGGACCTGATGTACTTCTTATTTAAAATGGAGGCTCGAAATGTATTGGTCACCTGTTCAAAGGATAGAAAATGTTTGTGAAACAACAGAATCGGATGTAACAGCAGCACACTCTCAGCTAAGGCATTCTGTTCGGAGAGCATCCAGAATACATGACTACAGTGGTCAGGCTCCTAACTCTATCAAAGCCCATAGATGAATGTCCTTCATCCAACCCAGGTCTTGATTTCAAAGAACCATCCAACTGGCATGGCGCAGTCACGGCCCATTCATAGGGTTGAAGCCGTTCACTGTACTCAGTTTGACCTTATACTAACACATCACAGAGGACAAGGGAGAGCGAATGCACTGTTCCCATCAATCAGGGTCCCCCGCCCAAGCGTGTTAGTGAGTTAGGGGACAGCTGCCCTGAGCTATGAATTATGGGATTTCTGCTCAACAGGAGAGCTTCCACTTGTTGCTTCTGTTCCCATATTCTCAGCCGTGTGCCCACGTCCGCAGCTGTGGAGAACTGCAGCCTGTGCTGTTTGGCTAATTGGCTAGCATTGCATGCCTCCCTGGCTTCTGGCTCTGAGACTCAATAGTGAGACACTGATCGGGACTGCACTGTCTAAGCATTCACACAGCACCAGCGTCGGGCTT